ATATTTATACATTGTCAAATGTAAGATTATTTTTAATTAATATTTTATATATTTTATGTATATATAATAATAAGTTAATTATAAATATTTAGTATTAGAATTGATAATTAAATCAAAATATATATTTGTATAATATTAGTTAAAAATAATTTTACATTTAATAGTTTTAAATCTTTATTACTAAATATATAAATATATGAAATTGTATTAAGTATAATCGACAGCCATTTCTGTCGATTATACCTATTATATTCGACAGCCATTGTGGCTGTCGATTATACTTCCTATAATCGACAGAAATAGCTGTCGATTATAGCCAGTATATTCGACAGCCACAATGGCTGTCGATTATACCTATATAATCGACACTTTATTATAATCGACAGAGTTTTTGTCGATAATATAAGTAAAATCGACAGTTTTTTGACTGTCGATTATATTTTTGTCGATTATATGCTGTTTTCTAGTAGTATACTAAAAAGCTAAAAATATAATAATTAGTTCTTGAAATTACATATTTGTTTTAAACAATGATCTTATAACAGTAAACGGCTAAATTTAAGTACTCAATATCTTTTAAAAATAAAAAATAAAGCAAAACACCATAATTAATTATTGTCAACAAAAAATGTTTGATTTAGTTCGGAGAAGGGTTTGCTCTACTATCCAAATTACTAAGGTTTGTGTTGGGAGAATGGCTCAACATTGATAGCAAAGCTCAAAAAGGGACATAAAACTTAGAAGTATAGGCACAATAGTTTTAGAGTACCCATGTGATTCGAGACAAATGTACCTATAAAAGAATGACACATGGCTGCTATGTCATAGACAAGGGCCTATAAATACCTCCAATCATTTGTATACAAGATAATAACTCTATTACTTTTCTTTCTCTATAATTACTCTTCTTAAAAGCCTCTCACTCTAGATTACAGAATGCTACTAATTTAGGCATAGAAGTATTTACTCTAGATTACAGTATGCTACTAATTTAGGCATAGAAGTATTTCCCCTAAGAAAATATCCTTGGGTTGTTTAGGTATTGGAGCGGATTCTAATATCTACTTCTAATATCTACATTAGATGTTCATGAAGCTGCCCAAATAGTTTGATTTTTTAACAAAATTAATAAAAAGATAAATTTTCATTAATTACCTAGTCTAAACATGAAAGGATAGGTGAAGGATTAGTTTTGAAGTATTCTCAAACTGAAGTAGAACATTGCAATTGCTAAATATGTTTAGTTTAATATCATCGATTTGCAATTGTAGTGATAAATTTTTTTATCTTTTAATACCTTAAAAATATATAAAATATATTTTATATTTTTTATATTTTTTTTTATTTATTTTAATTAGTATTTTATATATTTTTAAAATAATAAAAAGATAAAAAAATTTAAAAACCAAAGTGTTTATACTCATTTTTACAAAAAATAAAATGGTGCTACGTGTTATTCATGTTAGCATGTATTTTATCAGTGTATATTTTTTCAGATAAGGTTCAGTTATTATTTCCACAACTGCAGTGAAGAGTGAAGTCATTTACTTGTTGTAAACTTCTAAGAGGATGATCGACAGCATCAACAAATTAATCGGTTTGTTTCAGATATCATGCTGCCGTTAGTTTTTGAAAATTGCTGCCACAGATCTCTAAGCATACTACCAAGGGGTGTTTATTGCTATAAGTATGCAGAGAAGAAATGAAATATAGGATCAGCCTCTCACACATCTAATCCAGCGCTATCTACATTTTAGTTTTACGAGCAATATTTTAGTTTAGATATAATTTTCTCAAACAGTTTTCCTAATTAAGTTTTTAGTTCTACGCTATCATTAGTTTTAGTTTTAGTTTTTGTTATTTCGTTGTGAACATCTCCACTTGATGTATTTAGTTTTTTGCAATTTAATTTATTACACTTTTGCCCAAAAGTCATCTTCCTAGTTTCTTTTAAATTTAGTTTTATACTTCAATTTTTATTTCATTTTTTACGTTTTCATACTTTCGAAGCAGCATTACGTTTCTTTTCTGCAATTTAGTTTTCTTACCATGCACTCTCTTTTTCTTTTTTGTTTTATTTTTCTTTTTTATTTTGACCAACAAACTAACATTTTAATCATAGTTGTGAGAAGTCCTTGATGTTCTTTATGTACCTTTCACTCCCGTTTCTACGACAATCGACTGATCAATACGCATCTCATAATTTATTTAACCAGTACTCTTCCATCGACTTGCAACCGAGTTTCACGTTTTAAAGTAATGAGGGTTACCGAGAATTATTTTTTCTCATTTTGAACAAAGTGAGTGGCACGCCTTTACCGTTTTATTTGCTATGCAGTAAAAAAGAGAGATTTTGGAAACAACACAAAGTACCAAAAAAATATTTTCAAACAAATTAAAAGCAAAAATGTAATTGAAGTATTTTTTAAAAGTTATTTTTTTATTATATAATTTATCATTAAAAAAAAACCCTTAATTTTACTTTTCTTTTAAGTTTCGGGTTCAAGGTGGGGCTTAATACTTAATAACGTGCTCAGAGAGGATTGTCTGGCTGAATTAACGTGCTCAGAGAGTTACTATTATATTATCTTCACAAGGTTGTACAAAATCTCATCATTACGATTTCATTCACCAGGAATCTAGGATACGCATTATAGTGTACGCCAGGGCTGAAGCTGGACAATCGGACAATGGCTCCTAACAATGATCATCATCGGAGAAACCATGGCTGCTCTCTGTTTACGCCGAAAACCCCATGTTTCTTCAAGATCATTCTGGAGGACACTGTTCGAGATGGGAAGATGGTAAGCTTCCTTTATCCGTAAATTTCCCAAGTTATGATTTTGTAGAATTTTGTTATGTATTTGTGGATGAACGACATGTGTTTTTGATAATAACTTAGTGAAAAGAAGAGTGCTTCTGCTAGTTCTTTCATGGATGGTCATGGGGTTACATCTGCTAATAAGCTATATTACTGTAGTTTTCGTCTTGATCTATTTGGTCTCATGCTTTTGCTGCTTCATGCTTCATGGGACCATGACTATTTCCTATTTGCATGTGTCTTAATTAGAAATTTTCTACAGAGGATTCCCAGAAAATTTGTGAGAAGATATGGGCATGGTATGTCCAGCCCAGTAGTACTCCAGGACCCTAGTGGTGCTGTGTGGAAGGTGGGACTGATTAAAAGTGAAGGCTGCATGTGGTTGCAAAATGGCTGGAAAGAATTTGCTGAGCATTATTCTATCAAGTATGGACATTTTGTGGTTTTTAGATACGAGGGGAATTGCAAATTCCATGTAATAATATTTGATATGAGTGCTTCGGAGATAGAGTACCCACAAACTAGCAAGAGTCATGGTGAAGATTGTGACCAAGTTGAAAATTTTCGACAACCAAAGGAGGAAGAAGCTAAAGATGATATCTCTGTTGAGATCTTGCGTGAGATTCCTCAAAGCAGGAAAAAGAGACAGAAATCGCCATTACCATGTTCTTGGCCTTGTAAGAAAGTGAAAACCACTTTAACGAACGGAATTACTAAAAGTTCAAACTGCAGTTCATCATTAGGTAAATTTGTTACTAGGTGTTGTCATTGACTCATTTTTTATGGTCCATTTTTATGTAATTGGAATCTACAAACCTGAATGCCTTTTCTTACTTATTTTCTCTTGTTGGGATTTTGATCCAGCTGTTAAGAGTAGAGGCAAGCGAGTGAAACCCAAGAAGAGCTTGGAAGCTGACACCAAGTGTGATCCACACAAACTATGTGCTGCCAAAGAATCCATGGTCCTCAAAACTAATGAAAATAAGAATGATGCACCAATGGAGATCTTGGATGATTTGCCATCTCAGAAAACACTACAGAAATCATCTTTATGCTCTTCTAGATCTCGGAAGAACATAAGAAACAATCCCTGTGGAAACAGAGAAAGCACTTCCAAATTACCACCATTGCCTCGCCATTCTAGATATAAAGACACTCAATCTACCAGGATGAAACTGGAGAAGTCAATGAAAAAAGAATGCATGGATAATTCCATGAAGAAATATGGGGGTACCATTCTTCTTATGTTCTTCTTTAAGCTTAAATTAGTTGGTGATAAGTCATCTTGGCATTTGATGCCTTGTTGAAAATACGTTGGCTCTTGGCAGGTTCTCTTAAATTTTCCACAAAAGATGATGGTACAAGGAGAAAACCGACACAGAGATGCAAAAAGGCTAAAGTGAGGCCATCATCATCTCAGGAAGAGAGAACAAAGGCTCTTTTCAAATTTAAAAATCCTTTTTTCAGACTCGTCATGCAGCAATCATATATCAGCAGTGACAGTTTGGTAAGATTACTGTTGAAAACCAACATTGCCAACACTGCAAATTTTCTTTGCGGATTGGTTAAATTCTGGTGTTTTCTAGGAACAAGAACTCATACTTTGCCCTCTTCATAACTGGAAGCCTGATGCTTGATAGCAGTTTTTCTCCCTGTTCTGGTTTTCTATTGGTTTGTTTTGAACTTCGTAGTTTTTGCAGACTCTATAGTTTACTGTATGGATCATCGTCAATTCATTTATCCTTGATTAAAAAGAGAATAAAGATTATAGTCCCAATATTGTTAATTAGTTAAAGATCCTGACCACTTAAAATGCTTCTTTTTTGGAGAAAAACTATAAAAATTCCCTTTAAACACTTTTGGGAAAAAATTTCCTCTCACTAGCTTCTATTTTCTTTTTCCTTTTTGAAGATCATACAACAGACGTTTGCAAAGAAATATATTGGTGACAAGCATGACAAAGTTATCCTTTGCCGTCCAGATTTGGGAACTTGGATTGTTAAGTATGTCTTTAGAGCAAAATCCAGTGGTCTACCCAAACCTAAATTTTATCATGGTTGGAAAGTATTTGTTAAAGACAATAATTTGAAAGTAGGTGATATCTGTTTCTTTGAGCTTATTAAGGGAATAGAACCTTCGTTCAATGTTATCATTATTTCAGCTGATGCAGATGAATATATTCCTTTGTCATCACAAGGTTAGTAGCTAATTTTGACTTTATGGAATTATAGCTCTATTCAATACATTTAACTAACCATTACTTTATTTTGGGAACCAGCTAATGCTACTGAACCTAATCAAGTCCCATTTTATAAACTTTTGGTTCCTAAAATTGAATTTGACCAATGCTGTGATTTTAATACCGGAAATTCTGACTCTGATAAGCAATCCATGAAACAAGGGTTTCAACCTACTGAACACAAAACTGAACCCAGTAAGTATCCTAGAACTTCTCAAATTCAATTGGAGTTCAGATGGTTAGCATTTTCTGGCATAAATTGGTTGTCTTCTGCAGGTGGTTTAGAACTATCAGAATGTGGAAAGACTCAAAAGAGTGCTGGGTTGCAGGCCCACCCACAGTCTTCAAGTTTGTTGCCTTCACTCCCTCTTGAAGCTACTGAGAACCAGACCACAAAGTACTCCCTTAAAGTTGTTTTGAAGCCATATCATATCAAGCATGCCAGTGTGGTAAGGTTTGAACATATTGAACAAATATTTTAACAGTTGTTATAATTATATTACCATCTTGATTGTCAAAACTAGAACATGAATGGGAAAAATGATTGCATGCCATTTTTAAGCAGTGACCAATCTTGGCTTCATATGTATGTCATTTTGAGTGGACTCGATTTCTCTAATTCATAATGGTCAACCACACAGAACCAAAGTCTTGTAATGTTTTCTTGCATGGACTTCCATTCTTATGTTAGAATTATTTGTCATTCACATCAAGATAGTGTGTAACAATAGCCTTGTATCTTCTCTCTGCAGGTTCTGCCATCCCACGTTGTTGAGAAATTTATTAAGCAAAAACCAAAGAGCTGGATGGTTCAGGTTGAAGATAGAGTGTGGCATCTGAAGGTGACACGCACTAAGAGCCAAACTACGTTGTCTGCTGGTTTTTCTGCATTTGTAAAGGACAACTCTCTAAAAGCCGGAGATACTTGTATCTTTGAGATTGTTGAAGAGAGTAGTGCTACCATGAAGGTCTCCATTTCTAGATGTTCTGGTTAAGCAGTGGATATAGTATAGCAGAAATACTGTATTGGAAGAAGTTTTGCTGATAGATCTTCAGATAATTGTACCAAGAACTTTGCGTTTCTTAGGCCTATCTTTTTCAATGAATCAGTAATGATCCTTTTTATATGCAGTACATATTTGGGAAGAATGAGATTTAATTTTAAGAACCAGTTCCTCAGGTTCATTGGTTACCACAGTGAAACTGTGCAGGCTTAGAGTTCTGTCCGTTTGTCCAAGTGCTGATGACAGCTAGGCCTGGAGGCTGGAGCCAATGATGGGCCCTTTATTAGGGTCATTAGCTCCAGTCCCATCCTCTACCCGTATCAAATTTCAGGGTGGTGGACCTCACCCAATACCCATCGGGTAAAAACTTTCTTTTAGCTTTTATTACATTTATAAATATTTATTCCTTCGTCTATTAAAATTGAAAAAAATAATTTTTATTTTATATTAATTTTTAATTTTATTAATTGAAAGTAAATTTTTATTAATTAATAATTAATTAAGAATTAGTTAACAAAATGAATAAAATATTAAAAAATTATTTTTATTAACTTTATTAATTAAAAAAAAATTTATCAATTAATAATCAATTAATAGTTAATTAATAAAATTAACAGTTAATTAATATAACTAATAAAATGATACAAAGTGAATGTTATTTTCTTCAATTTTAATAAATAAGGACTAAAAGTATCCTAATATAAAGTAAGAGTCTAAAAATATCATAGTATAAGATGTTAAGATAAAACTTATAAATTTAATCAAGTAAAAAGTTAAAAAAGTTATAATATAAAGGAAGAGATTAAAATTTTATAAGGTGAAAGGTTAAAAATGAATTTTTGTCCATCAATGCATGCCTTTCTCCATTAGTTTATTAACATGAGGATGCAGAAAAGTAGGACATCGTTAGTATTAAAAATGTAATGATATATGATTATAATCACAATATATGATCATAATCACAAGATAAATGAGATATAATGTAAGTTTTATTTAAATTTTATTCATTGTGCGATTGTGAACTTGACATTTATGGTGTTAGGATGTTTTGATTTTCACTTTTCACCCTTAAAATTCAATTTTTTCACTATCCTCTCTCTGTTGTTGGTTTTTTTTTTTTTTTTGATAAGCTGTAAGGGCTCTGCCTCTGTTCTTGTGTTGAGTACAGGTAAATTTATGGACCCCAAAACTTTAATTCAGTTGCCTTAATCACTCATTTCACTTTAATTTCCTCGTTTCCCTTCATAAATGCCACACCTTCCCAGTTATTGAATGCATAATTATCCATTTGATAATAGGTAAGTTTATACGTTTTCAGGCTATGCATTCGCTAAAACCCTTCATTTTGCGTCCGGAATTCCTGTGCGTATCTGTAGGCATTGGCGTGTTGCATAAACTGTGAAAAAGAAAGCGAAGGAGCTGTTTCAGCTATGAAATCTACTGGGCTTGGAGGTCAAGGATGCAAGGAATTTACTTCAGATACACCGCATTTTTTCAAGATAATTCTTGATGATGCTGACAGATGTGAAAAACTAGTAAGTATTATATACTCTCTCTCTTGAGATCTTCTGCTACTTGTCTTACAGTTCTCTTGTGATAATGGATGTTTGATTTTAATTTTTGAAACTTACGTATCTTTTTGCTGATTTAAGCTTTGAAAGCATATTACACTAGAAAAATGGCTTCTTGGTGGGCTCTTCTTCTTCTTCTTCTTCTTCTTCTTTTATAATTTCTTATTTTTTTATGAGGTATAATAGGCATATTAATTCGAGGTATCTTGCAGAGGATTCCAAAGCAGTTTGTAAAAAGATTTGGAAGTGATATTTCAAGCCCAGTGTTCCTTAAGGTTCCTAGTGGAGCAGTGTGGAGAGTAGAATTACAAACGTGTGCTGATGATACATGGCTGCATAATGGCTGGCCAGAATTTGCAACACATTATTCTCTTGGTTATGGATCCTTAACTGTTTTCAGATATGAAGGAAATTGCCATTTCCATGTGATCATATTTGATAGGAGTGCTTCAGAGATAGCATATCCATATCGTAGAACTCATGGTAGGGTTCATAATAATGGTGATTCTCAAGATCCTAAGATGGAAGATGATGTATCAGTTGAAATATTGGATGACATTCCACCATCCAAGAAAACAAGAGTGAGATCACCATCACCAAGCAGTCAGCCTAATAAGATGTTGAGATCCACTTCAAATATCAGACCTCCTGAAATCAATTCCAGAAAGGTTAAGTATGATATCCCAGAGCCAGAATTTAATGGTATGGAGTTTTTCTTAACTTCTCATTATGGTTTTTCTTTTTCTTATATCTATGTTTCTTTGTTGGCCAAATCAAGAAGCTAGAGTCTTTTTCTAATCTGTGTCTTGATTTTGTTTATTGAACTGGTGTTGATTCAGCTAAACAAATTGTTAAACACCCACAAGTGGAAGTTTGGAGAAGGAAGCCAACATTGGGACAAAAGAAGAAAGCAGAAGCCCTTCTGCGAGCCAGTTCATTCAAATCAAAAAATCCCTTCTTTGTGGTTGTGATGCAGCCATCATATATTATTGGTAAATGTAGACTGGTAAGCTTTCAATCACAAAACAGTTAACCATAATGAACTTCATTTATTAAAGTTCACACTTTAAAAACACCAGAAGTATTAAGAGTTTTCCTAGTCTGTTAATTTGTTTGAAGCATAACAGCGTCTTCCTTTTTTTATCTCTCTGACATTTGTTCTCTCTTGTCTTGCTTGGTGCAGTTTATCCCAACAGACTTTTGGAGGAACTATTTTCCAAAGCACAATGGTGAGTCAATCCGTTGCATCTGTGATGGGAAGACTTGGTCTGTTGTGTACTCTGGTGGGGTCAGTCCTAAACTTGGTGGTGGTTGGAAGAAATTCGTGAAGGAAAATGATTTGAAAGTTGGTGATGTTTGTGTCTTTGAGCTGATCAGCAAGACTAAGATCACATTTAACGTAGCCATCTTCCACAGGGCTCAAGATGGAAAAATTGGCCAATCACCAGGTAAATGAGCTTTGTTTGAAAAAGTTCCATTGATGCAGTCTTTCATAAACAAACATCAATGAAAGATTTTAAAGGTACATTTCCTCGTTTGTGTTTGATTTTGTCAGTGCTTTATGCTTTTATGGTTCTTGCAGCAAAAGGCAGGTCTGGTACTGCTCAAAAATGCCATATACCCAATGTTGCTCCTAGAAAACAGGCACTGAAACCAACTGAAACAGCTAGAGCTCCTCAAATATTCACTTCATTCAAATCCGAAAACCCCTTTTTTGCAGTCACCATTCATCCATCATACGTTCTTTCTAATGTGGTAAGATTTTAATGCTACACCAATCTAAGTGGTATGTTAAGTTATACTTAATCCAAATAATAGAAGCACAGACACAGTTCCCTAACATTTCTTGGAACTTTTATTCTAGATCAATATATTGATGCTACTAAGTTAATGTTGTTTATGCAGACTGTGTCGTATTCCTTTATGAAGGAACACATTGAGCAGAATGCAAAAAATGTGAAACTTCAAGTTGGTGATAGATTATGGCTTGTTAAGTTGTTAAGACATTCACAGTACAAGAAAGCAGCGCTCTCTTCTGGTTGGCAAATATTTGTAAGAGAGAATTCTGTGGTGGTTGGAGAAGTGTGTGTGTTTGAGCTGATAAATAGGGAGGATGCTGTACTGAGAGTGCACATTTTCAGAAAATCTGCCGTGTAAATGATGCTTTTCAATAGCTAGCTAGTTCTTCTTTTTGTTGGCAGAAGACATTTGAGTCAGAGGTGTTTGTTTTGTGTGTGTGTGTGTGTGTTTGTTTTTTTCTTTTTCTAATTGTTCAAATGCTTCTCCCTTTTTTTTTTTAAATATCGTTCAAATGCTTCTCCAATTTTTTTTTTTTCAAATGTCATATTGCTCAATGAATGAAAAACAAATCATTTTTTATCCTTTAACTTACTTGCACACCTTGACATAAAAAAATATATATAATTAATTTTAATATGAACACATAGATAAATTTAATTATATAGTTAATAAAATTATTATTAGTAATTTTTTTTTCAAGCTTATTAGTAAAAAAAATGCAATAAATGTGCAGCACAAGCTAGAAATACCTCAGGACTTTATTAGTTAAACGTTAAGAATATATTTAGATAAAAATTAGTAGTGGAAAGTGAAGGAAAGGGAGGAGGAGTGATTAGAGAAGAAGAGAATGAGAGTAAAGGATTAATATTAATTTTATTTGAATAGATTAAAAAAAAGAAGAGAAAAAAAGAGGGAGGGGAAGACTCTATTTTTTATTTAATTAAA